TAATTTCAGTTTCATCAAAATTTAAATTAACTACGTAACGTCCTACCATTTTTTGGTTGTTGCTCTTTTATACGGATATTTAGTTCAATTTTAAAAGAATAAAATAATGTCCCCTGAATAAAAGAAACACGTTTCATCACTAAAGTGATTAGACTGATTATTTTTACTGAACAAATTTACAATCCGTATAGAATGATTCTTATCTAGCTTTTGTGAATAGGATAACACTTGGCCCAAATAGATTTTAAATATACCTGTAGCAAATAACGAGTGTTGGGCGCTTTGCTTTAGGTCATACCGAACCTAAACACATCAGCCTGCAATTAGCAAGTGTCTTTGAACAAGGTTCCATCCTTGTTATTTATATAAGTTGACCAGTGGAAACCTTATACCAAAACCACAATTCAAACAATCACTGACCACCCAAAATAAAACTTTAGAATTATCATATTTGAAAAATATAGTTACTGAAATCTTGAAAATACGAATTTACAAGTCCCTCGTGATGACTTTCTGCTGAGCTAGGCTCGTTACCGTCTTATCAGGCTTGGATACCGTTTATTTATGTGTTAAGGAAAAACTCCCACATTGAGCGACTTACAAGAACCTAAGACATTATGAGCTTCTTATGATCGTTCATAGTTGATCAGCATCCATGAGATTAGTAAGTTATCTGTGTGCTTGTAATAGAAAAACAGTGCATAGCACTTAAGAAGATTAATAGAATTTTAACCATTGAAGAGATTCGGAATCTGAAAGTGAGGAGTAGGAGCATAAGATCATAACTAGTAGTCAATGAATAGTAGGAACGGGTAAACCATATATTTTATCGTTTAGTTATATTCATATTAATGATAGTTGGGGTCCGTTATATTCATGATCGGTTTAGATAGGCGGTTCATAATAAATTGCCCCAGTGGTGGGTGAAAGTTCAGGGAAGAGTTGATGAAGCTCTTTAGTTTCAAGTAAGTGTTATTAGTCGAAAGATAGAAGTCGTAATAGTCCTTATCTCAAACAGTTTTGGTGTAATCATGAATATGAAATAGACAACTTGACGAGAACAATTTTAAAATATGAAACCATATCATCATATGTAAAAATAAAAATGACAAATTATATATAATGCTACGACAGATAACAAATTCAAAGTTTAACGTTTGGTGTGCCAGGTAACGTCGGATCACTACTGAAGATGTCGTCTGCTACCCAGACCTGTTTAAAGGCATCCAGCAGCATGCCTACAGGTCGACAAAGTAAACTCGTCAACCTACAGGACTCGTTTAACACATACGGCTGAAAGACTTCACTGCTACTACGCCGAAATGATCACTGTTCTTGATCTTAACCGAAACCGTGAAAAGCGATTTTAAAACCAATAAACATTTATTCCACACTATATTTCGAGGCTTCTATTAATAATAATAATAATATATTTCTGCATGAGCAGGTACACGCCATTTTTATAGGCATGATCTACAAATTGCAACATTTGTTGGCTCACAGCATGCGCCCCAACTTATTAAGTTTGTAGTTGTGGTAAAGTAGACTCGTAGAGCGCTTGTTGTAAACCATGACCAGAGGAGACGCGTACGTCAAATTCGTTCCAGACTTCAGAAGTTCCATAGCTGTGCCCTCAGAGCAAGACTCTGAAGAAAAAAAGATAAACAGAAGAGCAACAACGCACTTGGTTACGAACGCCAAACGTTGCTTAACACTTTGTAGTCAAACAGAGAGGTATAATAAATTAGATTAAATCCATATTATCTCTTGTTAGAGTGAAATGAAGTCAGAGGCTCTATATAAGAGAATGTAGTGATAAAGAACAATGAGTTGTAATGTTTAACAAGTCGAAGTAAGCTCACATGAAGGAAGGGAAATCATGAGTGGTACAAGGAAAGCGGCTTATTAGAAGGGAGTGTGCATATAGAAGGTGAAGTGTTAATAATACTAATGACTATATATTTCATTGTCCAATTTTTTCTTCCTTTTCTTTTTGTTGTCCTACCGATGACAGCTGAACAACCTGTTCTACTGTGCTACGATTTATCACACTAGACTTCGTCTCAGTGATTTGTCTGTAGTTTTTTTAGACACCAGTCTCATTCTAATGGCAGCAATCAGCCTCAATTCTGGCTGGTAATTAAACATGCTTTGATCCGAAATCGAATCACATATGCGTTCTCAAAGGTCACAGTTCGTATGATATGGTATTTTGCGACAGTTGGTAAAAAAAGCAAACTTATGCAGTTCTATCACACAAAACTAGCTGCCAACTAGTTGGTGTGTCTGCATGAATACACTTTGCATGGTTCCACTGATTTGATCTTTTCACTAGCTCGTTTATAAGCTGATATTGCAAACTATTGACCATACCTGCAAGATTGGAGTGAACTTCATGCGTAAGAAGTAAATAATTATTACCAAATTTACTCTTAGTCTTTGTACGACACCATATAAGGTTATGATTGTGCACTGGTTACTCAATCATTGTTTCAACTTTTGATGTAAATCTGTATGTATGATCGTGTATTTGCTTCCAAATCCAACATACTCTCACATGTCGGAGGTTCACCTACTTTGTTGTATTTTGTAAACGAGTCTCTTCAATAAGATTGATGTGTTCAACCACTTGTCATATGTTCATGGCATCTCTTGATGGTAAACCAGCCAGATGCGACGTTAGTGATACATGTAGCCAAGAGCTCTTATCTGTATTTTTCCATCATACCTGATTGTACATGAGTAACAAAGTAGGTATTTCTTTGATGATTCATCTGCATAAAAACGAAACTGACATGAGAAATCTTGTTGAGGTTGTTTATTTAGTAGTTCTAATACACATCAGTTGGTTTCAATGGTGTAACAGCTTAGCTGACGCATTATTACCTCAAAGTCACCTAATTATTTCTTATATAGGCTGTTCCAACCAGATTGTCAGGCCATCGCGCCGCTCAAATTTTTCAAGAGAACAAAGAATTTTATCAGTGAAGTGATATATCATGTCGAAAAAATAAACAGTGGGTTGTGTACACAAACTGTGATTGGCATTACCTTGTCAATGAATGATTCATCTGCAGTCAGTCAGCCACAACGTAGGACCAGGCACATATATGCATCGGTCCTCATTAGCACAACAAGATGAACACCAAATTCATAGAAACAGATGTTTTATTGGTGGCAATATATAAAAAGATTTCGTATAATGATTTGATGCAGTGAGAAAGAATTACATCGTAGAAAGAAAGGTATAAAGTAATCTCATGATTTAAGAGAAGATAAACAGTGTATACACCCACGTCATTGTAATCGATTCTGAGCCATGTCACCAACAGTCTCCAACTATTGATGACGACAGTCATGCGGACCACAACCAAGTAGTTTGCATCTACCAACATGACTCAGACTAGAGGTTAGCGTCTTCAAGCACTGATGCCACGTTTTGGTTTAGCCGTCCCTAACTTTCTTCCATTTGTCTCCATTACTAGTCAGCATTGTGCGTCGTGGTAATCGGTGTTCAGGCATAGGTAATGTGTGGCCCAACCGTCTTAGTCGATGAAGATTTACAACCTCATAAACTAATTTACCATCATTACCTAATACCCTGCATCTAACCTCACATTCACCTACCCGGTGATCCCAGAAGATGCCGGCAATATTTCTAGGGCATATGTGGTCAAATACTTGTAGCTTACAAGTATCATCAACTCTTAATGGCCACGTTTCGTAGCCGTAAAGTAAAACGGAATGATCTGCCGCTCAGCATACCCGTCCTTTTATTGATAGGCGGATATCTCGCCTTCGCCATAGGTGACGTAATTTAGCAAAAGCCAAACGAGCTTTTCGAATCCATGCTGAGATTTCGTCAGACATCAACCCATTAGGGCTGGTTAGACTACAAGATAAGTGAAATTGTCAACGCGTTCGACTACTTCACTGCCTATCTTTGGTTCAAGTGTTGACGCAGGCTAGTACTGGAGCAACAACTTGCATTTAGAGGGAGAGAAGCGCATTCCAAACATTCTGGCATTGTTGCTCAGTGCTACCAAAAGACTCTGAACTTTACCAGCGTCTTCACCAAACAGGACTATGTCATCTGCGAATTCTAAGTCGATAAGTGGACCTCCTGGAAGGAGATCAATACCCGAGAATTCAGTCGATGTGAGCGTTATTTCCTTCAGTAAGTCTATGATGAAGTCGAACAAAAATGGAGAAAGTGGACAGCCTTGACGGACACCACTTGAGGTTGCAAAAGCAGATGAAAGTTCGCCATAAGCTCTGACTCGACTAGTAGTGTTTGGATAAAGAGCCTTCACGAGGTCTGTGTACTGAGGTACGCCTTTCAATCACAGACACTGCCACAGCACATCGCAATCTGCTCATGTCGTTAATAAAACTGATGAAATTTCGCGAGCGACTCCGAGTTAAGTGAGCAGTATTTTAAGGTACAGATGCTCCCAGCTTGATACTGCAGCAGCACATATATGATTCTCAACCTTCCGATGATTTTATGCTTGTCTTAGCCCAAAATTTTGCACCATTATGGAAACCCTCGGTTTAGTTAATTGGCATCGATATTTATACGTCTAGACCCGCCGAACATAATTCTGGATGAGGGACGAAGATAGTTTGTAGAGGGACATCTGATTCTCATAAGGTTACTGACCTCACTATTAACTGACCATTATTGTTTTCAATTAGATCCTCAGCAGGCTGATGAAGGTCGGAAATTTTGAAGTATGATTAAATGTTCAAAGTAGTTTATATTTCATAATACACCTGACCTACTACTAACACTATTGACCTGATTTAAGACATCTTTTTAAATTCTGAGTACAATATATACAGTTGGATCGCTAGTTCGTAAAACTTTATTACTATGAGTGACCATCAAACCATTTTTTCGTAGTCCTTTTACTACTAAAAAACGATTCATGCTTTTGACCTGAACGAAAAAGCCTGAAGTGATTTCAATGTTCAATGTAACCTCTGCATTTTGTTTTGTTCAGCACATCAAGTTTTGAGGTACTTACTTGTATTGTGGTGTTGGTATTGTTTTAATTCAGTATACCATATATCTAGAAGTCCATGATTCATTTCTTAGTTTCATTGACGTATAGGTTAGGGATATGTATTCAGAACTATCCACTGTAGGCCCTCACATTAATGTGTCTACGAATAACGGATCTTACCACTCAACAAGTCTTTTTCACATGGTACTTCGTTCGTATAATATGAAAAATTGAGGCTTATGAGCTGTAGAGCTGCGTGTATTGACTCACTAGTACTTTAATAATACTGCCGCTAATTAGCACTGCGTCTGGATTTGCCCCGAACGCTTTAGAAGTCTTCGCTAATAAAAGATATATTTAGCAACTAGATATATAAGCAAGGACATTATTCAACTGACAATCCATCCGCTGCCTACTAACTTCCGTAGTTGTACAACACATGGATACATTCAGATCTCTGCTTGAAGGTTTGAGGGCTGTGTGTGGTATCCCTTTTCTAGCGTGCCCCTGCGAGGGTCTTGTCTTTTATTAAATCAGTTAATTGAACGTACAGACACCTATTCTGGTAGTAAACTACTAAAGTTGAGTACTTGGAAGTATAAAATGGATAATACAGGCACTGTGTTCATCCATGGCTTTTGGATTCGATGATTGTCCTGGTTTTTTCTTAAAAGAATGGATGCCATATCCGAGACGTTCTCTTAGTACTCTGTACACCGTACGTCGTCAAGTTCATGAGTCTAGTCCCTCAGACTAAGGACATTCAGGAATGCACAGGTAGTGATTCTACGCTCTTTCCTAGGAACCTGAGTCGTAATTCAAACGGAATTAAAACTCACTATAATAGTGTAAAATGACAAATGTATTGTTTATCTAACCTAGTAGAAGTTTATCCAAATATACTCTTTCGTCCTGATATTGTGGCTTAAACAGACGCAGTGAACCGTGGTCTTCAGATTATGACTTACTGTAACCCTCGGTCCATTAGTTGCGAACTTAGGTCAAAATGTTTCTTCACTTTCGTAATTCCATCTGCTTTCGTGTCCAGTGTGCATGAAAACAGCCTCGTCAACAAACAATTACATTTTATACCACCATAACATGCCGCCAAGTTCGGCTCAAAGTATATATATATATGTATAGTATATGAAAATTTAGTGCTACTTGTCTTATTTTGACGTCTTCACTTTAAAATATTGTGAGGGATCTGATTTATGAAAGTTCGTTAAAATTATTTATTATACACTAAAATACACGGATCTACGCAAATAGTGTCAAAGTGACTAGTCTTATTTCGTAAAGACAACGACAGAATTGTTATTTGAATTTGTGAGATAACTTTTTGTTCGGTTAGTTTGTTAGCATTTATCACTGTATCTACGTATTCACACTCGTTCTTAATATTGCCTCGATTATGCTGTCTCTTTGACTATTCACGTGGCTTAGGACTTAGCAGGTGCGTTTAGCTGTTGATTTAATTGCTAACACTCGTACTTAGTGTCTGAAGCAATGAAAGATACTCCTAGTACGGGTTTGTCACATTTGTACATCGAGACGGGGCATTACGCCTGGCGGTCCTCCGGACAAATTAGCAGATATTTTAGGGTCATAATGCGCGTTAAGAATGGGTGTTTCCTGGCGGCTCATCGACAAAATTTGAGTCAGCGCGTTGCAGCTTGAAATGTAATGCCACCCGGTTGCCTGAACTGATGCGGGGTTGGGTTCAACCACGCGGCTCAATAATTGCCCTGAACACGGAGTCATCACTCCACTATTCCTGTCTTTTTAGGGTGAACGACTTGTCGTATATGTCGGTTATTTTTTTGTCTATCACACTTCGGAATCGGCTGATTTCATCTAATTACCCATCACAGTCACTATTCAGGGTATCTGTAGTCCTCAAATGTTATTTCTGTGGATGTGAAACTTTCTAAAAGTGGGGATTGCAACGATCTTCTGGTCCTGACATTTTTCATTCAACACTGAAAATTTCGACCTATTTCCGAATAGATTTTTTTCCAGTAGGAGTAATATTAGATAACTATTTACGTAAACATTGGTCACGTCTATGTATTGTATTGCTAAGTGCGAAAGATATGTGTGAGTCAAACGGGAACAACGCCAGATCACTAAGTCTTTGCATTTGGACTGAGGAGTACCGAAAGGTAGTTTCTTTACTGATTGTAAGTCGTCCTGATTATAGTTTTAAATAGTTGGAGATCCTCACTGTCATGCCTCGAAACTTTCTGTTTTACTGAACTCAAGGTTCATATTTTGTAGGTTTTTTAGCGAGGTTCTTTGTGCAGTTCTTTAAAATTTGATTATCACTTTGTTAACTTTCACTATTCTGATCTGAAGTGTTACAGTTCGTGTCGATGCACACTTTCGTCAGGTCGTACGGAATTTATCACTAGTCTCCATACTTTACAGATAAGACAATAAATGTTACCGAAAACAGTTCCATAGTTTTGGGTCCATATTTCTGTATTTCCGTTATGTAAAAAATGACTGGATCTAAGTAAAGACGATTATCGTTTTACACTCTTATGTATAAACATTTAGTTATTTGTAACAGGAAATATGTCTAAAAACAAAACTTCATTAAGTGAATTCTTTTTAGGTTTATGGATCCAAACCACATTCAACCCATGATGCTGTCTCAAGCTGGGTACATACTACCTCAACCAGGACTCAGCCTTGTCTCTCCTTTGCCTGGCGGTGCTACTGCGTATGCCCACCAACCATCATATCAAAAGTCATTATACTTTCCATTGTCGTTTGCTGGTTATAATGACCCTCAAGTTAGTGAAATGGACTTCTCCAGCTCCCAGGTCCAGAGCACTTACACTTCACCTGCCGATGTGCTGGAAAAAGACTACCAAATTGTTACTTATGAAGAGCTTGAAAAATTACTCCCAGAACCCAAACCATCTGGTCGCGTCGAGTTGGGTTTGCTTCCGAATGGGTGTGCTTATGCACCTAAAACAGCAAGTCGAGAAAATTACTTGTTATTTGCATCAAAATATAGCTATATATTGTATTTCACGTAAGTTTCTGTCAGTTTACCTTTCTTAAAGACATAAATACCGCAACATACGTTGTACCGTTAACAGACATATATGTTTTCACTTTAAAGCGTTCTAAAGTTAATATAATCATTAGAAACATGTAAGTTTTTTGAAAAGTGTTCTGGTGATGACTACGAATTAATAACGCCGTAAAACTGAAACATCGTCAGCTCAACAAATTATTTCAGACATGATGTCATACATCAAACTCAACAAAATCCCTTAACATAGTTTTATTCTTCTACCTCAAAATTAAACTGGTTCACATTATAATTGCCGATACAACAACCATAGCGAATATGCACTGCCATTATGAATTATTCTGTTCTCAACAGAGACCATAAATAAAGTGGTGGATGCATAAAAAACACTGGGTACGTATAGATTAAAGTATAGGATATGCGCACACTTATTTCTTGTTAGTCTACATGTTAGCGGGACATAGACTAGATTAAAGCATGCTCAATGCATGATTGTTTTGGTGCACGCTGATTGGCTGATTCTTATCCAATCAGCACTAGTCGATAGTCGGAGAATATTCTGGAATCTTATGTAAAAAACTATAAATATACCGACGTTTTCCCCTATTGTGCTTCCTACTGGCTTCTGACTTGCTATTTGGGATATAATCTTTTTCCTGTTCAACCGTGTTCTGATTTGGGGACTTGTCGAGTGAATCGGTGTCCGAGAATACTAAGCAATAGGAATAGCTGGGTCATTAACCGTACGAAAACAGAGTTATAACAGTGGCGACGGGAAAAACTAAAGAAAAATGGCGATTTCTTTAGAACAGTTGCGGTTAATATTACAGCACCAGCAGAAGTTGTTAGCCTTGCAACAACAACTATTGAACACACTCTTCACTCGACCAGAAAATAAGAAATCTGTTTATGATGCAGTAACAGACACTTTAGAAGCATATCTAGTGGAGGGTTCAAATCCCTTTATACCTGAATCAGAACGTAATATTTGTAACGTTTCCGGCTCACAGCAAGAAAATCCTGTGCTGAATGCTCATAAAGTTGTGGCAATACGAGATTATCAAGAGTCAGACCCTGTAGATGAAGCCCGGAGTCCATAATTGGATGAAGCACTACTGGTCCTGTCTAGCTCTGAAAATAACTTTCAGCTAGAACAAATTTATGGTCCACGTGATATTAACCAAGAAAGCTATGGGGACTCGTATTCAGAAAATAACTGCAGTGACACAACGAACCCAATTATACCGAATGTTACTCAAAATCATTGCGAGACAGAAACTTATACTGAATCAGCTTATCCGATTTCTAATGACAATGTATCAGACATGGGTTCTCAGAACAATGCATGTTATTTTGATGAAATTTCTCATAAAAATCAGGAAAATATATCAGCTGAGTCAAATTATGGTCAAAATTCTAATTTAATTTTGTTAGATGATGATTTCCGTAATGATCCATTATCCACTGATGAAATTCCTAATGGATTTGAAAGTAATGCTTCAGAAGAATTAAACTTTGACCTCAAATCAAAGGTCGTTCATTATCATCTAGTCGTTTCTAGTGGATCCGACATTCAATGCGAGAAACGTCGTTTAAATAAAGTCCTATTATTTGTAACTTGGAGATATAAGGATCCGACATTGATTCGCGGAGGAGGAGAATGTTGGAGAATTAAAAGTTATGCATACTTTTTTTTAAGAAAAATCAAAACGCCGGGAACAGACATGTCAGTCTCTGTGCAAGGAAAAAGTGATAATTCTTTATTGCCTAGACGATGGACTAATCGAAAGCACAGGCCAGTCACTCAGTTGCAGTTGGACCCTAGCATCAGATCCTACGAATCTGCTCAGAGGGGAGGTGTTAGCGGGACATAGACTAGATTAAAGCATGCTCAATGCATGATTGTTTTGGCGCACGCTGATTGGCTGATTCTTATCCAATCAGCACTAGTCGATAGTCGGAGAATATTCTGGAATCTTCTTATGTAAAAAACTATAAATATACCGACGTTTTCCCCTATTGTGCTTCCTACTGGCTTCTGACTTGCTATTTGGGATATAATCTTTTTCCTGTTCAACCGTGTTCTGATTTGGGGACTTGTCGAGTGAATCGGTGTCCGAGAATACTAAGCAATAGGAATAGCTGGGTCATTAACCGTAAGAAGAAAGACAGACTTATAACACTACACAAGGAAAATCAATCACAGTGCTACAAAAAAGTCCGGAATCTGACGACTGTAACCGTCAAATACAATTTAATAGCAGCCACACAATTTCTTTGTTTTAGTAATTAATAATAGACAACCTTCCTAGAGGTAAAATCTTACGGAACGCATCGACATGGTAACCATGGGTTAAGTTTTTCACATTTAAATGTTACCACCTTGTTTTATCTCCTGCTAATTCGAGTAAGTCCGATTTAACTGCTCATCACGATAATCCAGTTGTATTGAAAGCTTACATGCTTCGCATTTTGGTGATATTATTCCAATTTCGTAAATGGTGTTTTAATTGCATTAATATCTTGCTATTTTCTTTAAGTCATCATTATTTTTCTCGAGAAAACTTATGCCGGGATCAGACGTTCCTGAATATGCTTGTTGATCGACTGATTTTGCCAATCGAAAAGCTTGTCAAAGCTCCTCGCCTAGCAGCTCTAAATACTACTCATGAAGAAGTGGAAAAAGCCTTACTTGGCAGTAAGATTGTTTGTGTTGAAGATATGAATGCGGGAATGCGTGGTGTTCGCCGCATTGATGGTTGTAAGTTATTTTATTTACGTTAGAATTAGAGTTATTTGATTTTGTTTGCCTTTGACATTTCAGTAGTTCAAATGTAGCTGTGTGGTTTTACATACTTGACATTTCACCACTTGGTCACGGTTTTATTTATTTCCGTTTTGACAACTAGTGTAATATACAGCAGGATTAATTTAGCTTGTGGATATCACTTTTATATTTTTGACGGTATGCGCACTCAACAGCTTTTTGTTTCATAATTATGAACTACTGAACATTGTTTTTCTCTTATTAGAAAAACTAATAGGTTCTTTGTTACCGGAATTAAATCGCGTTTTTATTTAAGGTTTGATTTAAGAACTTGTTTTTCAAGAAACTTGTTACACCCTCATTGTCTGTTGATTTCTATTTTCCGACTTAAAAATAGGTATACCTTGTTTATCGCTTGTGTTGCATTCTTATTTCAGATCCTGGTCTGTCTACGAATCCTGATACTTCAATAAATGTGCAATCTGAGAGTGGATTATCGACTTTTACATCGTCTCAGAATTTAACCTCGTTGATTGGGTCTTTCTCTCTCCAACCACAATTGCCTGATCAACAAATTACTACCAGTCTTCAATCCGTAGTTGTGTTGAAAACTGCTGGTTCAGACAAATTCCGATCTGATGGCGTTATAAGATCTGGACACATGAATTCTGAAACAAGCAAAGAGCTTCTACGAGCAAGTACTTTAATTCAAAACCCGGTGACAACGAATGTTTGCATAGCACCTGCGTCTCATCAAATGTCCATTCCATTATTGTTACCTTTATGTGGTATCGAGAACTGCAGCAATATTCATATAGAATGTACCGGCACAGCGGGTCCTTCAGTAGCACCTTGTCGTAATACTGCTCCTTGGATATTACAACGGCCTACAAAACAGCATAATCTATATTCTCGTGTTGCACATGTGATAGTTCCTCAGTCTATAAATCAAACGAATTCTACAAATTACAATAAAAACCAACCACTCGCGTGGGACTTTCATCAGCGCCCACATCTCCCAGCTGCGAACAGTACACATTCAAGTGTAGTACCAATACGGCGTCAAACGCATTTGCCAAATTATTTCATTCGTCAGACAGGGAATGTTATAGAGTCATATCCTGTCCCATTTTCAATACCACAAACAAGTAACACAAATCAACCTTTCAATCTAGCTGTAGCAGCTGCTTTAGCATCCATGAGTACAAGCACCAGTAATAGCATTAATCCAAACCACTATGGACATCAACCGCAGTATTTCCCCAACCAGTTGTTAACCAACTCTTCAAACATCAGTCCAATTGGAGCTAACCAACAACGACCATCAAATGCACTTTTGAATCACCTCCAAGCAGTAGCTGCCATGTCAGCTGTTGCACAACATTCGAATGCTACACCTTATTTTCAGAATCCTGTATCTCAAACTAATCCTTTTCATATCCCCACCCCTGTGCCATTGCCAGTGTACTACACCGCTCCACAGTTATCGTTACAATCTTCTGGTGCGCGGAACTCTTTACAGCGTTTACAACAAAATGTGTATCCGATGCAAAGCTATGGCTATCAGACAGTCCAAAACGTCCCAGTATCTGAGTCATCGGATAATCTAAGGTCAGATAGTAGATGTGGCTTAACGGTACCGAATCTCCCACAACATACAAATAACTTGATTTATCCTATACTGTTGCAACCACCCGTGCACATACAGCATAAGTTACCCACACATATGAATGGTACAGGGTGGCAGGTTCACAACCCTGGTCAGTCGATACGTGGAGCATTCAATTCAGTAGGTTTAACGCCTATACCCATTAACTTCACAGTCATTAACACTAATGGCTCTACTTCGGTAGCCAATAATGGGATGCTCAAAGAGTTACCAACGTTTTCAGACACAAAAGATAATCTTGATAACAATACAGCAGTAGATAATATGGTAAGTGATGCTGCAATAAATGTGTCTCTTGCATCTGAAAATCAATTGGATAGTAAATCGTCTGTGTTACCAGGGTTAATTTCATCTACTGAAAATTTTACATGCGCAGTTATTGGCGACAATCAGTCTCATAAGCTTCCCAAACAAGTTGAAAAAATGACCTCTCCTGGTTCGGTTCATGATTCTGAGGATTCAGTTAGTTCTGGGATAGGAGACATGACTGCCACTAGCACTGGTGATAATGACAGTCGTAACAATTCGTCGTGCACACCAACCGAACCAACTCGTATTATTCCGAAATCTGACTACGTACGAAACAAGTCTTCAACACGAATTAAAGAAAAACTTACTGGTACATGAGTCTCCGAAATGATGAAATTCATAATTTTGTATTATCATTCACTGAAGCTACAAGTGATCATCCAATATCATGCAGTCATTTGTTCCAAGTAATTTACACAGCTTACTGGATAGACTAGTAAAGGAAACTCATAAGCAGAACATATATTGTGCTTACCAGTTATCTTTTTCACCATTATAATTAAAGCGACGGAAATAGAAACAAAGAACCATAACTACTGGCCGTTTCATCCTGCATATTCACGAACCACCGTTCCGGTCACAATTACGCTGTTCATTTTCATTACAAATGCTTTATTTTAAGTCGGGAAATACTGTGATTAGAATTCGCGTTACGGCCACTCCTATATGGTGTCTAAACTGCCTTTTCTTTCATTTTGAAGATTTCTTAGTTACTGTTTTTATTCCACCCTGTTTGTATATATGATTTATTGTCAGTACATACGTATCTATATACCACCGCTTTACTTCAAGCTTCCTTAAGTGTTATCATTTTGCGAGGTATACTGCACAATTTACATTTCCCCATGCAAAAGAGAAACCAATTATCCTACCTCACCATATACGTATATCCCAGAAAATCTCCAGATAAGCGCCTTAGGTCTAGATTTTCGTAGTTATATGCAACTAGGAGTTTAAAGGATTAGAACTATACCGAAATCAAACTATTTGTTTTTCATTGACTTTCTAATTAAAAACAAGCTGAGATTTTCTCCTTATCCGTGCTCTCCCTGAGACTTATTAACTTAAGCTGCTAAAGCACCTTGATTTTCCATTAAACTGTTTATTTTGAGATATTTTCTTCCTTATAGTGTTACCTTGCAAATCTTAAAAATAACTTCTTGGTTTCAAAGTTACGCAAGATATTTTATGAGTGAATAGATGTGCATTTTCTTATTGCGAAGCAAATCATTTGGACGCATTTTGTGAAGCATAAATAAATGGGATTTCGATAGAAATCTAAACTTTTTATTTATTATGTTTACAATTTTTTGGTGTGTGCTGCAGTCGTTTAAACAGACATACAATTGTCTTTAGAGTGTCAAAATCAGGTAACCGGGCTCGTACAAAGATCATTGTGGATAATTAACCAAGGTTTTCGTTACTCGAGTTTGAATAAGACGTGGGATCATACAGCGGGAAAGATGGTATTTTAACATCTAAACTAGTACCATTGTGTTTTTCAAACCGAAACGTTCCCCACATGTGGGCCCACTCCACGGGGAAGTGGATATGACTGTGATACTGAAAAACTGGACATTCTGGAGAAAGGACAGGTTGCTGAAATTTGAAGGAAAAGTAAATCAGAGTATGCGAAAATTGCACCGTACTTACCATCCCTACAACTCCTTTTCCTCCGATTGACTCAAGGTTTCCGGATATTGAGAAAATTTTCAAAAAGCGCTCACGAAGTTGAACGCGGTCCATCGTGAGGTTTTCTAATCGGATTAAATAGCGCCACTTTCAAATATAAAAGAAATTAGGAAATATGTCATTTCGTATGATGTTAGTGTAGTGTGGTTTTCAAGATTAATAAATGTAATTTGTGCATGAAGTATACTAGATAATTAACCTTACCCGGTTACTAACCCTTCTCTTGTCTACAAAATATGAGGATTCTACGCAACCTGTGACCATGAAAAACGTAATTCTGATTACTGTCGCCCAGTGACAAATCATCAGAAACGGTTCTTAAAAATAGGTTTCAAGGGAACCGTATCTGACTACACGCTGGATAGTTTTGAGTTTTATTCTGTGTAAGGTTATTTAAAGAAACCGTGGCAACAATTGTCGACCCACAAACATGGGAAATGTAGTTACTCTTAAAAGTAATTATCCGAACCTTATAAGGTAGTCTGGTTGACTAAAAAGGCGTATCTTTATTTTAACTACCGATGAAACTTCAGCAATAATAATACATGATAACGTCGGTATGCATGTTGACCACAAATTCAGTCAGCGAATTAAATCGTATTATCTCGAGCTCAGCTCTGCATGGGTCGAAGGTTCTTATATCACGCTCCTCGTCGTTGGGGTCTGTTTTGCTGAACACAGTCGTCATGCGTAGTTGGTCGATTTAGGGTTAGTCATGGTATAATTACATTTTTAGTCCGTGTTGTATTCAGTGAGCAACATTTGTTACTTACATGCAAATGTCATTATTTAAAAAAACGCGGTAGCCAGTGTCAACACAATACTGGATTACATCGTGATTACAGTCACTCACGCTTACGCGGTTTTTTGAGTCACTAAGTATTACTTTATACTGTATTAGTTTAGTAGTTCGACACATTCCAAGGGATGTAGTTTGATTTCTTTTCTGTAGTTCAGTCAGTAATTTTTGACATAACTGAATTCAATTTCGATGTTTTGAGTACTGCACAAATGAATTAATTTCCCTACTAGACTCAGTAATAGTGGTTACTAATAAGGGCGACTATCAAAAAGGCACATACTATTAAGGGTGAGGATTGAAAGAGGAAATAGAACCCATTCCAACGAGTGGAAAAATTGTATTTCTGACATTTCGTAAGCAAATAACCGAAATGAAAATCCTTAAGGTTGTGAATTCTATTCGATCTACTTTGTTCTTTTGCCCTAATGACCAAAAATGTAGATCTTTAAAAGAAGAGTAGAAAGATGATGCTCGACATTTCTCATTATGTATATTCCTGAAAATATCGTCCTTCGTCCTATTCAGTGAAACCTAGTGAACTATTATTCTGTATATTATTGAAGTCTGTGATAATGGTAGTCAATTGACTAGGTTTCATTTGATATTAATTAGATGAACAGGTGGAACTTATTATGCGGACCTGATGCTATTATTATTATTACTAAGTAGCATATGGTTGTTAGTTATTTGTGTGAGCCAAATTATCATTTTTTTCAGTTAAAACAATGCTGAGATTTACGCTTGACAAGCTAAAACATTTAAAAAATTATTAGTCTTAAATCACAAATCCAACTACGCTACAATATATTATAGATGATTTCGTTGCAGAAGCGTTAGCGGTTCGTTTCGATTCTGAGCTATGACTCCAAGCTGTCATTATACCACGACTCAAACACCTAATTTCTTATACACAGTCGATTATTTACAGAAACTTTATTCTGATTTTTTTAAAATCTATTCTTCTTATATTCCTTAAGTAGACATTCGGTTTTATCATTTTTTACTTTTCGATTATTACGCAACCTCGTTTTGACCTCGAAATTAGCTACCAATCAAACTTTCCGACAGGCAACGCGGGTTAACAGGCGTAAGTAAGCAGTACAAACTCCCCACACTGATAACTCAGCCTGAAAGGGTGATTTATCAATACAATATAATAATTATAGATATATTAACTGACTAAATATGGTTGATCAGTAGGGAGGAACGTCAATCGAATGTAGATGTAAACGCTACATACATTATAAAACTTTTGTAACGCAGTTTAACAACGGAAGTGTAGACGTCCCACAGTGTGACTTCGGAAATTGGTTGGCCGCGGCCACCATATGTTACTGATCTCTTGACACAGGTGTTTTCAACGTAGTTCGTTAACCCTGACTTCTTTTTCGTTCTCTATAGAGAATTGTAATTTCATCAAACTATCAAATCCAGGTATGACATTTTCGACTGGTATAAAAGCTAACACTGCCAAATTACGAGTCTACATGGCAAAATTTTTACCTATCATGCAACGTTGCTGAACGTTCGCTGATTGTTGAAGTTTTCGCCATATACACTGGCTCAGTTGGGAGAGACAACCTTGTTGTGTTGCGTTTGGATATATTTGTCGAAATGTTCAATGTTCGTAGACAGTCATGATAGCTGACGTATGTAGTTCGTTTAGTTTGTTAAATATGTGCGCATACGAATCCCTACTTCCGTCACTCAAAACATAAACCAATGGAAAGGTCGTAACAGATTTCAAAGAGTGAATTGCGTATAGCTGACCAAATAAAAGTGGTGAGATCCTGAATGTCCCATCAGTATACTAATAAGGACACTGTTCCAACAATTCCAGTATCGAAATCCTATTTTCTGTCGGTAGGTAATTCCCTCCCCTAACAGTCGCCCTATACTCAGAGGGTAAATTTAGCCTTATCAAGGGACTTGGATTTGGTAAGGGGGCCTGGTTTTTATCTCGTACACGCCGAACTATCCGTTTCACCAGATTAACAACTGAAAGTTGAGTTGATACTACATAAGACAAACCGGCTGACACTGTAGTCATTATTTGATGTGGGAACTTGGCGAAGAAGCTACTTAATCTTTTGTTGTTGATTGTCTTTTTAGCATTTATATTAGCTTTATCTGGAATGACTTCGCTTCGTCGAACATTTTGTAATGAATTCACACGTCGTAATACTGCGCGACCTACACTTTGCGATACAATAATCCGTACATGTCCAAATATTCTTGTTGTTAACTACTTTCTCTTTTCTGAAGGTGTAGCCACATACTATTAAGAAGTCTGAGCCTTTATTGCACTTCATTTATCCCAATTTCGTTCCAATGAAGTGTAGAAAATATGACCTAGGGTGTAACCCATCAGCCTAATGCACAATTGTTTCATTTTGAGCTGTAATCAAAGATTTCGAAACAAATAGACACAAATTCATTCTATATACCATTTCCACTGTAGATGCTTGTCATTAAGTCGATTACTATCATATTTTACGGTCATCTGAAATGACCTAACAAACACTTTTACTTGATGTGTTACATCTGTCTGGCTCCAACAACGTGGTGCATTGCTGATTACACGAACCTGTACTTGAGTACTGGACTTAATTTTTGTTACTACAAATTACATTGGGGTAAAAGCTGTGAGGTGTAGTTTGTTTTCAATGATTTAACCTAAAGTTGCCCATAAAAATTACAAGAGTGAATAAAAAAAGTCTAATTCCTGATCATATTCATGCTCCACTGGGATTCGAAGACCATCTACATATCGGTGAAAGATCGTCAGAGATAGCAGAGAACCATGGGCCTAGATTTCGTGCCAGTTGAGACTCGTCAGCAAGACAGCTGGGATCTTGAGGGAATTGGTTCTTATCGTATGATGTAAGCCATTTTCGCAGTATGAAACATTACCACCGAGGCATTCGGGCTGCGAATGTCCCTCTTCAGGACTGAGATAAATAGATTGATTGGTTATTCAGTGGTGAACTTTGTTGTGCTTGTCTAGACCTTGGAGATAGTCGGATTCTCTTGAAATCAGATACGTCTTGCTGACGAGTGCAACCTAACATGAAATCTACGTGTAGGTTTCTCTGCCGAGTACCTCCAACCACCTTTCATAATACTCTAGCACACGCGATGTTGAGTCACGTAAAATAATAAATATTGCCACATGGTCAATAGAATACAATGAGCACTAAGTACTAGCTAAAAGTGACAATTCTTACCACTTAGTGATTAATCAATTTAATTATCTAGGTGTCCTAACAGTAAACTGCCTTTTTCTGATCTTTTATCTTTCGAGAGCTGTTCACCGTAAAATTTACATTTTAAATACTGAATATTAAGGAACGGCATAGTTTTGAAAAACAAACTTACGTAGCGTACATCATTTTCCTTTCTATCCTGAAAGAAAAAGAAACTTTTTTATAACAAACAATAGAGGATAGATTGGGCTACATAAAATTTATATTTAATAACTTACCTCTGTTACTCGACGGCCCATGTAAAAAGGCATTACTGTCGTTTGAATACCTTCGGTCACTTCGCGATGTATCGATGTAACTTCTAGACTTTGCTTTCGCGCCTCAATCCAGCGTCTTAAATGATCGGTTGGAATAAATGGTGGATCTTTTGTAAGAGAATATTTACAAACATTCATAATCTTAACAGATACAATATTTCATGAAACTAAACAGTCAAACAATCGGACAGAGATAAATAATTTAGAAGGTAAGATTTTCTTAAAATACTAAGTAATTTTATGCTTAATATTTTATCGCACACTGAAAATATAGGAGAACGAGACAGTTTCGCTTTTATATAATCAATTTATTATCCAACTCTGCTTATAATCTTTAAATATTTTAAGCTGAATTCGAGTTCTGCTGAACTTAAATTAATCTGAATGGTTTAAATCAAATAAAATGATAGAAGTAACAAAAACTAGGCTTTAATGAGATATTACAGAAACCATGGTCGTTTTCAAGTTTGAGGTATAACGTGGATGCTTTTCTAAAACCAAATAAGACTAAGTCCTTTTACATTTTAATACAACGACAATATACTTTCGAAATTGAAAAGGATGTATTTGTTTCGAATGTTTGGTCGAAGAACAGTTGCAGATTAATTTGGCTTTCGTAACATGTTGCAGATCGGGGATTAAGTTGCAATTCTCTCTATTTAGTTATTTAATGATCACAGAGATGTGCACAGTTTGTTCCTACGTATCTTCATTGGCTTGAAAAAACCCCAGACTATATAGAGTATGCAAAACGGTTACGAGTAGAATTTTCTAGCTGCAAATAATTTTTTTTACTTAGTGACTTCACCCTACTTTCGTTTCTCAATTTATGATTCAAATGAGTGAAATTAAATAGGGTACATGTGACAATGTCTAATTTAAGATTTAATCTATATTAAGGGACTAACAAAACATTAATCGTAACAATCTATTTGTGGGAAAGATCCGACAAACCGATATAATTAAACAAACCTTTATGATACTGAGTGAGTATAATGTCTGTTTAAGCTGATAGATCCACTCAAGGAACTGTACAAACGCGTCAGTTAAGTTTTGCGACGAGATTTTACAAATCTTTTAACATTTCCAAAGTTACTTTATATTTACACAACTGTCTTTTTCATGTCGGTTAGGGCTCTGTTATTTGTCTTACTTATCCGATAAATTACACAGCAACATTTAGTATGTACAGATTAGTTAAAATGATTGTGATAACTTTGGACTACTGCGCTAATTAAGTCATTTCTGATTTTAGAAACAAAGGTACGTCATGGGTATCCATGTTTTAACTGGTTTTTTCATTGATGTTATACAGAAGGCCTCCACACAACCAATACCTGGACTTGGTGGAAAAGGAAGTGAGGCCAGTTTGTGACAAGACGCCACAGAATGAAAGTTTATTGTACAAAACTGTGACCCGTCGATCATTTTCAACTCTCTGGTTACTGCTCTAGAGTCATTGAAGTATTAAAAAATTAGACATCTAAGAGAAGTCATACAATTTAACTTTCATTATAGTAGAAGTTGTATATTCTGTGAAATATCATTATTTCGTAATCGATACAGTCAATTACTTTCTAGATAGTTGAAACAGATAAGACGAGTTGTGCATGCATAAAAAATAAAGGAACATAGAAAAATCGGTGCCGAATGACAAATCATTAAAAACTATTATTACTTTAACACCTTGTAAGAATTACCTTTGTCTGGAGTAGAAAGCAAGAATTCACTAAAATATTGATTTCTAACTGGCGAAACATCCTGCGGAACGTAAGGTATGATATCATCATGGAAAACATAGTCCATTTCTGTAGATGTTAATTTGTAATTCAAACAAACCTGACACTATATATATGGCATTAAATGCTCGTTTATCATCAGGTAAAAAAGTAATACCATGTTTTAAAGCAGAATTCTAGAAACTAGAGCTCAAAAACTAGACCATCGTACACAAATTTCAGTGTCGCTTTGATCCGTTAGAACTTGGTAAACATTTGTTTCAGATCCTTCTCCCTTTGGAGATTCATGAGACGTCAATTCTCTAAATCAGATTAGCAAACAGTAAAGTAAACATACATTGATTTCGTAGATTGTAGATTACGATCGAACAGCTTTCCCTTCCAACGCTGTAGCACAATACCACGATAACCAAATTTCTTGTGTAAGAATATTTGACCAGGCTCATATAAAGATTCAGAGGCCTTTTGCAGGTGACCAATTAGTTCTAATCTGTGGTTGAACATTAAAGAATCCAAGTTAACCTACTTAACTGGGCGACTGGGAGAAAGTAGATACCTTCTGATTATAAATTCAGGAGCACGGAGACCGAAGGTTGGCATCAAACCAATACCAAGTTTATTTGTTAAACAAGCAGCTAGCATTGAATATAATTGTTTAGGAGGGAACGGTTAATGTCTGCCGGGCCTGTCAGTTTCAGCTCTTTCTAAAATACCATTATGGTTATTAACGATGTAAACATCAGTCAATGGTGTGCAAAACACAGATAGGCGGACTACAATAATGAGACAAACAGATATAGATAAGTAGTAATAGTTCCAAGAAGCGAAACTTGATTTAAACACCCACCACACTGTTAGGAGGAGACAAAAGGATAGGCAGCAATACATGAGAAGTGACTGAGAATTAGGTTAAGGCGACCAACAAAATCATCCAATACCAAATAAAAATTTACGGGGGGATATGAAGCTTTATCCATTCCCAACGGCTGGCCAAACTACTGTAGGAGTAGGTTGATAAGATCAGACGAAAATATAGGAGTATTGTATGAAAACGTTCAGTAATTAACTGAGTATTACGGTAATTAGCGGTTATAGTAACTGAAGACCTTTGGTGTGAGTTTCGTTACAGCACAATCAGACGATACTTATATTCAGCTCTAATACGTTGTATTCGGGAGTCGATACCTATTGGAAGGGACGATATGTAACCGTAGCCAAAGACTAACAGGCGCAAGTCTACTAAGCTGATTAGCTAGACGTTGGGAAGTGTCCTGACAAGCAAGCAAGCTCAACTTATGGTTATTTTGCCTTACATATATAGAAAATACATAACAAAATCAGGAGTTCCTAGTATTTTGCATGTAAATGTTTCTTGGGACGGACTTGATCTCTCAGCTGACCGAAGCGAATTGGTTAGATGGTGCAAAGGTAGGGTCTTATTAATCAATTCTATGAAATATGCTAATGCACATTGAACCCAGCAAGTTACCAGTATATCGCTAACTGTACATCGCTCCCACGCGTGCAGGAACAAAAGGACAGGAGTAACACTAATTCATGACTTAAAAGCAACTGTAGAGTGCAGCGCAGCGGCCGCCAAATGATTTCGAGCTGGATGGTCACTTCACTGAGAATTTAAATGCTTTGACGAGATGTCCCAGCTTTTACGCTCCACCTATGTAAGACGACACTTAAAGTACCACATTCAAGCAGCTGGTCCATATCACATTGAAGATGCTGACACTCGGGTGTGTTCAGCTCTAGAGAGCAAAGTTAAGGGTCTTCCCAAACCCCCAACAATGAATGCCTGAAACACATGAATTTTTACACTTCACCGTACCATAGAACACGAGGTGACCATAGATTAGCATTCTGTATCTTTAATAACGAGGTCATAGCAAGAAGGTTCAAAAAACGACAATCAAATAAACCAAGAGTGAGGTACCGTTTTTCCTCATCGAGTAGTCAGTGATAGGAACGCCCTACCCGGATACGTGGTATCAGCCCCGTCGATGGGGCTGGTACCATTGATACCCATGGATTAATTACTGTGACGATGCATTCCGATTTGAAGACTGACAGCAGAATTCACAATTCTAAGCAAATAATAAATATATACTGCGAGGGTGTCCCACGAGAAAAAACCCAAATGCACAGGCAGTTTGTAGCACGTACTACTAGCGTTTACTTGCAAGCACGAGCGATCTGAAACACAACACAACTGTCAGGACCGGTAAATGCCACTGAAGTAAGAACGCGGCGTACTGGCACAACAGTAATATATTGAAAAATTGAAAGACGCGGTTCGAGTACAAAACGGGAAGCTTATTACAAAATGGGTTTATTCATTGTTCTGCTTGCGTAAGACTTGTTTTTCTTCTTCTAGTACGTTTACTCTTTGTTGCCCTGCAATAAGGAAAACAAACTCATATTAGTAACGTCACATGTAGTGATTCTTAGTACCGTTACAAGTTGTCAGTTGAATATTCGCGCCAAATCCCAATCCGCATTCCGATTTGTTCATTTTCATAAGCACAAAAGTTGCAGTCAATTCCATGTTAACTGACAAATTTTGCAATCGTTTTTCATTTCAATCGACTCAATATTATTTGTTTCAATCTTTCACAATTTCATAGTTTAGTCAAGTACTACTGACATCGAATTTGCTATTAACTGTACATTAACTCGTTCTATTTGATAATGTCCTACGTATGCACTGAGATCACCTATTTCTAACCATAATCTGGAAACTATGAATAATTTATTGTAAGCAACATTACTAAAAATTTTTACTTCTCCCAAGCATTAATGGATTATCACTTCATATATATAGAAATTTTTACTTTCATATGTATTTTGGACACATGTACCTACACTGGTTTCAAATATACTGTCAGTACATTTGCCCCATAAAACCTATTGGTTTGAAGTACAGGGGGTGAGACTTTTGAGCGAAGCCAAAGTGATTTTGAGAGTTTTTACATAATGCCTAGGACCAAATGGAGGTTAGAAACCAGTGTGAAGAATTGGAATTATGATTTTCGTTTGATGGTTAGGGTAGGGAATTAGATCTAGGGTTGTCATCACGAACTGATATAAGCTATTATGCGAAAATTCTATTTGGCCAAAAGGATGAGTTGATTCCACATCAAAATCCGAGACCTGGTATCTTATACCTGAATGGTCCGTCCATAAATTATTGTCTGGCCGTGCAAGCGAAAGATTTGCATCACAGAAATCATACAGTCGGCCTTTCTTATTGCTCATATGGAAAATGCCTTGAGTGAAACAGCATTACGAATATCGTTATTAGGCCTAAAGCTATTTTTGATGAATTTTTTATTAGGATTGTTTTATTCTGAATCCGCCTATGGCTCTTCTAGGGTTGCTGCCGGTCCCAAGCCCGTTTAAATGAGGAGGGCTAGGTGTGAGGTTAACTCTCCCATCCCATAGAAAACAACCTTGCTAAAAATACGCTAACCAGAATAAACAAATTAAAACATTTAAACTCTGCCCACCGAGTTGAAGGATCTTCATTCAGAAGAATTATGACGCCTCATGGTGAAATCCAAGATTCTTCGGAAATCACGAAGATGATGTCCCTTTTAACAACCACAGCAACAACTTTTATAGGCACATGGAACATCCTGACAATGTGGGAGACTGTGAGGACCAGTCAAATAGCAACAGAAATGAGGAGATACAACTTGACAGTGCCCAAAGCCAGAGAAACCGACTAGACCCTAACTGGACAGCAATAGTTAGATACAGAAGAGATGCTGCTGTACTCCGGACACGAAGAGGAAAATGCTTCACACACTCAGGGAATTGCACCAATGCTGTCTAAAGAAGCACGAAATGCACTTATAGGATGAGAATCTCGTGGATCCAGGATCAATATAACCTGTTCAGTGAATGAAATATTTTTTGAGTATTTCACTCGCAAATCCTAGATGCTCCCTCACTGTCCGAATTTCGATGTGTGTACATGAAAGTGTATCCCCAGTTTAAATGTATCAAAATACAAGCGTCCAAATTTTTCCTTGTTAAGATATAGAAATATTGCATCACATGAATCTTCGAGTTTATCCATATTATTCTCTACTATGCGACTGATACTTAGACTGGGGCTTGACTGGAACGCATAAACTAATTTTGCCAAGGGTATATCAGCTGCATATTTCTACATCATACATGGTGAATAATAGGGGTTTAACTGCTGAGTCTTTTAGAACATCATTAGTAATGTCTTGAGGTTAGAAGTGTCGCCCGATTTTCTTTACCTGGGTTCGGTCCTTTAGTTTAGATGAGATCCAGTAATGTGTTTTATCTGTCATACCGGACGTTTAAAATTAAATGGTAGAGAATAGTCTTGAACTTTATCGAGTGCTTCAGTAAAACCAAATCATGGAGTAACAACTAATTTCCTTTCATCCTTATTGGTTGTTATATAATCACAGTGCTGTAGATGACAGGTTACTCATGACATTTTGGAACTGAACTTATGTTGCCAAAATATGATCATTCGTTACTCATCCAGAAGAGTGCCGACCGCTTTCTTAATAACTTAGTCCATATTTCTAGACTATATGAAATTGTGACTAATCAGTAGATAGTTGTCGACGACCAGGTAGTTTATCATTGCCAAAAGAAAATAAATAAATCAAAGGACAGATTAGATATTTTGGAAAACAGGATTGGCAAGTCAGAACTTTAATATTTATTTGGATTAGCTAGCATTCTACCACAACTACTTCCGAAAGAAAGTTTTAATGGTCTTATCGAATTTCCAACAATATTCAAGGTGAATTCCAGGTCTGCTAATGCATACGCGTTTAAACTGCTAGCTACATATTCATTCCAAGCACATCCAGTGAATGCCTGTGCATGTGTGTTGCTAAGCAGCTCACATAACTCTGCTGGGTTTCTTATAAATTCATCACTGACCTTTGAAACAGTAGAAAGATCAGATTGTACTTAAAGTTCATTCAGCTTCAAGCTCCTTAATCTGATAGAAGTCGTTAATATTGATAAATATTGATTGGATGCTGAGCATAGCTGAAAAGTCATCTTAAACAAAGAACCCTTTTCGCAACTTCCTAACTTTGGATCTGAATTCATTGTGTCTGTTTCTATGTTATTGTACGTCAAAATATTCAGATTTTTTTAGATGACTTTGGACAGACTTTCGAAAGGGGTATTAATTAGGATTTCTGCTTCATCTCACCTTACTCATACATGCGTCAGAATGCTCAGTTCCTCGAGTATATATGTACTCACGACCGTCCATGTGTATTACTCGTTTAAATTTTGACATTCGATCTCGTATTTAATTTACGTTACTCGCTAAGTCAAACATTTTACTCTCAATAAAAGGATTGATTAACTCTTCTGGTAATATCAAAGTAATCTCGAAGACTAATTCCGCTTGGAATCAGCCTTGATGGATGTTTTTATTTCTAGAAAAACTGATGACAGGGATTCTTTCCGCCATACGGAGTTTGAGCATGATACTAGGGCAACTTTTAACTGGTGATGGGAACAACATCACATCACCCTGAGGATTATGCGCTGTGCGATGTAATCTGTTAGGGATTATAAGTTAGGACAATTTGATGAATAGCTCAGATTCCAATCGGGTT